GAAGAAAAAAAAATGACAGAAGCAATGGTAGCTCAGACCAATATTCCACTTACAATGGAAGGAAAGAGGCTAAAAGTATGTTCATGATAAGAAGCTGTTCTTCACTATAATAAGGTTTATAAGCCTGGGTGCAGGGTCAGATGACAGCAGCTTGAGCTCAAGAGCCAAGAAAAGCACTTCTGAAATGTAAACCTTCAGACAACATAACACATTGCCACTGGGCTGTCTGCGTGGCATACGCTTTCTGGTTCAAGACATACCCAGAAGTTCAGTTGCTCCAAAGACAGTTGCACCAGGCTCCATCTTAAACAGATAAACACTTCCAGATACCTAGGTTGAGGGGTTCAGCTTTGTCCCTGTTTTCTCCTGTTGTCTGTATGTACCAGTCTCAAGCTAGATACTGCCAGTAAATACAGCTGCTGGGGGGGGGCAGTGGCCCAGCCTAGGCCCCGGCCTACTTCCTTCCTAGCTGATGGGAACCATTCAGTTGCAGAACCTACTGTGCTTCTTCCCCAGCAGATTCATTTTCTGGGATGTGGTGGTCACAATGTGGAGGCCTTTTTCACAATAACTATCTATTCTTGGAGGCTGAAGTCTGTCTAAGGTGCCCTTTCACTTCAAATTTAAATCTGATCAATTCCTTACAAATACCTAAGAGCTTCCTCAGTCCTGTAAACAGAAGAGCTTTTCCCCAGTTTTGCTTATTAAGAAGAAATTTTCTTTATATTTTTGTAGCCGTACCTTCAGGCACTGGCACCAGATAGGCCACATAAACACAGCACACATGGAATATGAGGGAGCAGTAGTTCTCCTTACTACATGAGAATCTGGTGAGAGTTTCAGTGACACGTGGTAACTTGCCAAAGCAATAAGCATCGAAGATATACTGCAAAAAAAGAGCCATATCTGCTGTCTTCCCAGCAGGTGCAAAATTTGCAGACAAAAAATAAAAACTGATAAAAGTCGCAGATGAGAAGAGTTGTCATAGAGGAATATGGGTAGCTTGAGAAGAGCAATTTGCAAACAGAAAACATTCGTACTCCCTTATTCATCTAGGAAGGGGCAATGCAGGTCCCCTGAATAGCTGTGGGGCTACAGAGCAGCGACTGTGAAAGATCTAAAGCCCATAGGTGACAATCAATTATTAATGAGCTCTGGCTGCAGTGCTGTATAAGTAGGGATAGTGCAGTATCTGCATTGGAAGCAAGGAGCAGAGCAGCCTTTTTATCATCTTAACTGAAGTGCTAAATCTATCAAAACTGAGATCTTCATGGAAGGATGGTAGCTGAAGAAATGAAAGTGTATACTTTGATTGATACATACATTTCATCCGATAATTTGCTTTGTGAAAAATTAAGGACTCCCAAATAAAATTACAAACCTCTATAAAGTTTCGTATTTTCTTCTGGTGAAGGAGAACCTTCTTGCATACAGTTTTCTAAAGAGTGTAGATTAGGAGTGGGCAATGATTTTTTAATACAGTAGAAAGCTGAGATATCTGTATTTTAAAAACATGTGCAGGAAAAATGGAGAATCTGATATTAAAAAAAACAATTCGTTTGAGAGCATCAGAAAATGGCTTTTAGAGAGAAACAAAGGCTGTCGTTCTGAGTTTGTTACTGACTTATGGTTCCAACATTCACATAGGAAAAAAGGAGTGCTTGAAACGTACTGCAGTTTAGCATCAAAAATCCCAACAGGAACGTAATGGCTTGAAACTGAAATAAGACAAAATAAAATTAGAAGTAAGGGGAAAAAAATAAATATTATCCCATTCTCCCTATTAAAACTAATAAGAGTGGAAATGATGAATTCACAGTCTTTTGTTGTCTTCAGATCAATACCACAGGCATCACTGGAACACAAGCTGTAGCCAGGCAAAAGACCTTTAGATCAATACAAGGGTAATGAACGAAATTTAATAGCCTGCAACACACAAGAGGTCAGATCAGATGATCTAATGGTCCCTCAGGATTTATAATCTGGGGACAACCATACAAGATCAAAGCACACTGGGCAGGGTAATGAAATGAGCTAGGAGTGTGCATGGCAGTCTTTGCCTGGACTGCTGCACTAGAAAGCTAAGAAGTACAGGATTTTGTTTTTCTTCTTGCTCATCCATCTCTTGATTTTGTTCCTCCATCAGAAGATGCTTTGTGGATAGAGTTCACCACTGACTGCAAATGTTCTTACAGAATCACACTGCTGGGGTGATACTGAGACTTCTGTTATAGCATTTACATCCATCATTTTCAGGTAACAGCCATGTTAAAACAAAAACCCATGTTTTCCACATTTGGTCTCAAGAGAAATTTTAAAGTGATTGAGGGAGGACAGCTGTCCTGGTTTTGGACTGAAATCAGGAGGAAAACCATTCATCTGTAAGAAGAGACTTGGCAGTCTCTTTCACTGCTAATTCAACAAGCCAAACTTTCAGGTGGTAGGTCCATGGAGGAAACTAGTGCTGTTGAGATATCTTATACAATGAAATAGTAGCAAACGATCACTAGAGAGCAGTTTTGAATATTTGCAGCAGAGTGCATCCTTCTTTCTGTTAAACTACTGACAGTCTTATGGAACAGCAAGGCTTTTTCTGTGAATGTTAGGTAGAAATGGCTGTATGGTTGTGTACTTCATTGATATTCCACAGCAGAAACAATTCCAGAATTTAAGTTGAATCAGTGGGAGGTATGGTCTCATGCCTAAATAGCATCTTACACTACGAGCTTCTGATTTATCTCAGGTTGAATCTAAACAAGTTAAGCAGAGGTACTAAGGCACTTTTACTAAAGGTAACCTGTCAAGGCAGAGAAAAAATGTACTCTGTGTCTATGACATGGAAGCCATATATCCCAGTATATATCCCAAACTTCTTATCTTTTAGATTGAGGGTTGTCCAGGGTAAAGATGTTATGGTCTACCCTGGAAGACAAGCTTTCTGCCAACAATCCCTATGGCTTTCTAGTTTCACTATGTAATACTTTAGTAATTGTTTTAATAATTATTACATTAAACATTCTTAGTTAAACAATTAAACACTGATTCTTTGTTTGCATCTTTCTGCTGAAAAGTCATCTATCTGTAACCCTAGCAAAGAAGGTTTATGCTACGGGACATTAAACAAACTATATCTCATTCAGAGCAGAGTAATGAAATTGTAATTGTACAAAGAGCTGATCATTAATAACAATTTAATTTCACCATCCAGTAATCGCTGGAGGTGTAACGCTACCTTTGTGAAAGTCAGCACTCTAACAACACCAGCTGGAAGTGATTTTCAGGTGCAAGCCTGATTAAAGAGATGTGATTCAGTGAGCTACCTGCTTCCTTATGCGACCTTTGGCAGGTTACTTGAGTTCCAACTCCTAACAGCATCGAGGCATAGCCTCACCAGTCACTCAGCTTTCAGAGGGATTTCCCAGGCCAGCTGAATGCCCTGGTGCACTGCCCACTGGGCAGAGCTGTTTGCCTCCTGTGAATGGCAACCGTGACCTCCAGCAAGGCTACACCTGAACAAGGTAATGGAAATTCTTGAAGCAAGGCATCTGGAGCTCATAGAAACACTTGGGCTCAAAAAGACCTTCAAGATCATCAGGTCCAACCATCAGTCTGACCTACCCATTCCAGTCACTAAACCAGGTCCCTCGGAGCCACATCCACACATCTCCTCAATATTACCAGGCAGGGAGGCTCCCCTACTTCTGTGAGCACCTGCTCCAATGCTCTGCACAGAGTACTGTATTTTCATGTCTAGAAACAAAGTGAATGAAATTGATAGGAATATTTGCTTTTCAATTATATTCACATTAAATAGAAAAATACATGCATTAATCCAGGTACCACTCATACAAACCTGGAAGCAAACAGCAGTGGGGGGAACATGGTTAGATTTTGCTTTTAGTTCTCGCTGCCCAGCTCTGTTATTTATTAATCGGTAATAAATCAAATTCCCCCGCCCCACCTATCAATATGTCTTTCCCCTACCGGTGACTGGTGAGGATCTCCCTGTGCCCACCCCCACCAGCGGCCGTCCCACCCTGCGCCGAGCTGGGGCGCTGGGGGCACAGCCAACCCAGGGCGACGGATGCAGGTAATGCGTGCATCACAACACCGCACGTCGCTCTAATGGCAGAGAGCGGTTTAAAATTAAAGCTGGTGCCAGAGGCTCGATGTTTACCTGTTACCCTATTAGAAAAGCTTCCTCGCGAAGTAACAAATACGAATCGTTACACATTTTATACGTTATCTCCGAAGTCTTCTTTCTGTGGTACTCAATCCTGAGTCCCGGGCGCTCGGTGAAGGACCGTTCCCCCCCCCCCCCGCAACAGAGCAGGGCAGCAGCGATGCAGCAAGCGCTGCCGCCAGCACAGGAAAAGTTATCTTCAGCCCAAACTCGGCTTAAAAAGATAGCTGAATTGCACCGCACATTGAGTATCGCTCGGGAAGGAATCTCCCGCTCCTCTGAGCAGAGAGCTGTCACTGGGGTACTCTTCACTTCACTTTTCCCCCAGCTTTGTGCCCGTCCGGCCACTGTAGCACAGATCCAACTCCGCGCGCGCCTTCCCGCTGCCCCGCGCCGCCCGCGGCCGTTCGGGCGGAGGAGCCGGGGGGAGGGGAGGGGAGGGCCGCCGGCGCCCGCGCGAAGAAAAAAGGAGCGAAGCGGCCCCGCGCGGGCGGGATCCTCGTCCCGCGCTGCCGCGCGCCGCTCGTCCGCGTTCTGATTGGCCGGCGGCGCGGCCGGCGCTCCCCGGCAGGCCGCGCGTGATTGGCCGGATCGCGCAAGCGATGGCTGAGGGCGCCAGCGCGGGGACTGCGGCGCCTGGCGGGAGCGGCGGGCGGGCGGGCGGTACGGCCCCGGCCCTGCCCCAGCCGCTGCTGAGGTGAGGCCGCGCCGGCACCGGGCGCCCTCCTGCCGCGCTCGGCCCCGCGCCCGTCCAACCCCCTCCGGCGGGGCGGGCTGCCCTTAAGGGCCGGCGTGAAGGCGCCTTCTCTCTGTGCAGATGGAGGCGAACGTCCTGAGTCTGCGGGACCTGGCGGCCGTCCGGCCGAGCCGCCGAGGCCGCGCCGAGGCGGAGGCGGCGCAGAAGGTGAGTGAGGTGCGGTGCGGCCCTACGCGTGTCCCGCGGGGCGCGGCGCTCACCTGCCCGGGGCGCTGTCAGCGGGTGGGGGCGGCACTGCGGCGCTGCTCCCCGGGAGGGGTCCCGGCTCTGCCTCGATACGGAGTTCGACGCTCGTCTGGGGCTTTGCCCGCGCCGCCGGTCCCGGTATGCCGATCGCCTGCGGGCGTGCCGCGGTAACGGAGCGGGTCGTGCTGCTCGACAGGAGCGGGACCGCCGTCCTCCCCCGGGGCCGCGGGACGGAGCGCTCCGTGCGGCGGTGTGTCCCTCGGCGACTCCGAGCCGGGCCTGGGCCGCTGCCCCCTGCCAGGGCCGGCCGGCGCTCTGGGGGCCGCGTTATGCTCATGCTCCTTCGCAGACGTGCCCGCTCCTGTGTGCATCCCGGGTTAACCTGCAGCCCTCTTGCGCTCTGAGCCATCTCTCCTTGGATCAAGGTGAACCTGGGCTTTCATCAGTCTGGCTGCTCACCTCAACGGGCAGTTGTGACATTCCACACGTCAGGGTGTGGGAGGCTGATAGCGGAATGGATGTGTGCATCTCGAAGTAATGCTGCCGCTACTCCTTTGCAATATCTGCACAAGGACCCACGTTTGAGGTAGGGGAACCGCGGGTTCTCCAGTGGCCCTCACTGCAGTCCCGCTGGCACCAGCCATGGTGAGCAGAAACATGAGGGGAAAGGGACTTCCTCTGCTGCAAAGTGTTGATTTGTTGCCAGATGGGAACTTGCAAGAACATACCGAGTGCCAGCTCTATGTAAGTATGTAGTCCAAGAAGCACTGTCGCCTCTAAATTCACCCCTATTTGTCACAGTTACAGCTGGCTGCTGTTAATTGGGAAAGGAGATACTTATTATCTCATTGTGGGATATTCATAGATAAATGTACGCACAAATATTCCGTATCGTTGCTCAGAACGCAGTGCTTTTGATGGGCCAGATTGATCCTCACACTGAATGTTGCAGAGCTGCTCCTGGTAAAAGCCAGCTTTAGTTGTGTTTTCTGGCTGGCTTGGACTTCATGAAGTGGTATTTGGAGTCACCTTGCTAGTGATAGCTGAACTGTTCCTGATAAACAGCAAAATATAACTTGAACAAGTTATTAGAATCATTTAATCCTTTGAGTTGGAAGAGACCGTTAAAGGCCATCTAGTCCAACTCCCCTGCAGTGAACTGGGACACATCACATTGTTCAGAGCCCCATCCAACCTGGCCTTGAGTGTTTCCTCCAGGGATGGGGCTTCTGCCACCTCTCTGGGCGACCTTTTTGCAGTGTGCTTCCCCACCCTTATAGTAAATAAATAAATAAATAAATAAAAATTATATCCAATCTAAATGAGCTTTTAAAATTCAACTCATTTTGAAAAACAATTAAGCGGAAATGTAGATCTGAAGAAGGCAAATTGCTGTGTTTGTGAGCACCAAAAAAGCCACAACCAAAGCAAACAGCAAGCAGCTGCCATCCTGATTTGTTGTCTAAGAGCAGTTTATGTGGTTTTGAGGGCTTTCTTGAGTCCCAATTCCAGCAAGCTATCCAGAAGCCATCTGCTATTTTTTCTCGCATTCCATTCAAGGTGTGTGCAGTCAATCTAGAAATCAGTGAGAAATAATAGCAACAACCAAAAAAAACTCCCATAGTATCCTGTTTGTGGGAGGCTAAGTAAAACTGAGTGGTAACTGGATTGCCTGAGAACAGGCTGTTCTCTCAGGGCAAAAAAAAGTTCCTTCTCTGTGCCACCTGATGCATCCTGCAAAGACAACAGTGTGACCTTCTGTCTTCCTCATTCCTTCAGCCTTTGTGACCTGCTTGCATCCACAGGCTGCAGTGAAACACTGTCTTCTGTAGCTCAGAAGCTGGTCTCTCCGTGCCACTGGTGCTTTCTGGAATGAATTCCTTTCAGCTAGTTATTGGTCAGCAGTGGGGGTTCTCACAGTAAGGGCAGAGATAAGGAGTCTGGCCCTCCAATGAGACCTGAAGATGAGAGAAGGTTGGGTTGCAGCTAGAGACTGGAGGGAATTGAGCTTCGCTTCATTCAAGGAACGATGAAAATCAGCTTACACCTTAGACTTTTCCTTCTGGCAGCTCCCAGCTGTGGTCAAGGAATGCGGTTATTGAGTTCTTTGTAGTTCTGAGCAGCGGATAGAATGGATGTAAAGCTTGATCCCCTTGCATGTGAAGTTCATTTCAGTGTTATGTTCCTGAAAGCCCAAGCTGCGTTCCCAGCATGGCTTTTCATTGGAGACTTTTCAAGCAGAACCTCGTATTTTCGTTTCAAGTGTAATGTGACCAATGCATTCTTTCAATCCAATCTGGTTATTTATGTTCATGGGCAATGCTGTCTTGTAATAATGGAACTTAAAAGCATAGGCCAAGTTTGACTGCTTGACCTCAGTTTCTGTAATTCAGGGTTGTGTCTTGTATACTATCGCATAGAATATTTCACTGCTTCTAGTGAATGCAGAAGAACTGCACTAAATACAGTGGTGAGTGCCAAGGCATGACTCACCTGAGATTACCTTTGTAAGAGCAAATGAAATTGATTGTCGAACTGTTGTCTTTCCTTTTTTAATAGGAAAACATACTCGATCGATCCAGGATGGCCCCAAAGACTCCCATTAAGAACGATCCAGTTGACTTATCAAAGCAGAAGGGCTGCACCCCGGACAGAAACCCAATGACACCTGTTAAGCTCATTGACAGACCTCAGGCTGACCCTTGGACCCCCACTGCTAACCTGAAGATGCTCATTAGTGCTGCTAGCCCTGATATGAGGGACAGGGAAAAGAAGAAAGAGCTCTTCAGGCCTATAGAAAACAGTGAGCAGAATGACATACCTGACTCGTTACAGGTAAGACTCAGAATATGTTTAGTCACAGCTGAGACCTTCTTTTAACTGAGCATTAGTCCTTGGCTCTTCTGTAGGAAATCACAGTATTTCAAAACATTTCCAAGGGCAGTTGCGAGTGCAGCACTACTTGACCAGTGTGAATTTCAAAGACTGAAGGTAGCTCTCTTACCAGTGACTGACTTGGGACCACTCAGGAACCTGAAGATGAATTGATCTCTGAGGACAGTGGAAGAAGTAGAGCTTACAGCAGTGAAACCATCACATTTAAGTTCTCCTGAAGCTATTTTCCAAACTGTATTAGAAGAAAAGCTGCCAGTTCACACCAGCCTACAAAGTTCCCTTAAACTAACAGCGTAACTAAGTTTAAAGCTGGGTAGTGCCTTTTATAGCCTCTTGGTATCATATTTGCCCTTCTTCCCCACGCCAGCCGGCCCAGTTCCTTTAAGTTAACTGCTGTGAAGGGCAGTAATATCTCCTGAAAGTGGTTTCGCAGGAGCTGTTTGATGGTTTGTTCATCTTTTATGGATTTATTAGATCCAGAGGTGTTAAAGAAAATATTTCTCTTCCTCTCTTAAACAGAATTGTTCCTTCTAAGTTCTTATCTGCTAGTTTAGAGTTTCTTATGTTTTGTTTATGCACAACATTATTGCATGAACTTGCAGGTAAGAGTTTTTCATTACAGGTCTTGTGTGTTGGATTAAAGAGCATGCAAGCAGATGTGTGTCACCCAAGTGCTTTGCTCTTGCAGGAAGCTCACATTAGAAAGTCTGACTATTGCTGTCGTCTGAAATATACCTTCCTTGACTATGCCTTATTTCTGAACACCTGCACTAAAGGCTTAATGTTTGTATTTTAACAGTATGATATGGTAGATGATGGCACGGTTGATGAATTTGAAAAGCAAAGGCCCAGCAGAAAACAGAAAAGCTTAGGACTCTTGTGCCGGAAGTTTCTAGCTCGCTATCCAAGTTATCCATTGTCAACAGAAAAAACTACAATTTCTTTGGATGAAGTGGCTTCAATTCTTGGTAAGTATACCTGCAAAAATGGGGTGAATGATCACACAGGGCAGCCTTACAGTTGCAAACAAGTAGGTGTAGGAAATTAATTGGGGAATCGATACTTCATAACTTAAGTACATACCTGACATACCATCCATTGTTTGTCAAAGTTATCTTAGCTTTAAATATTGGCTGGTGAGGACAGGTTGCCAGGAGACCTGCAAAAGTAGAGTGAGGAAGTGTGTTGTACTGAGGTAGTGAGACTGCATCAAATAGTCTGTTTTCTGGGTCTTGTTTTCAGGTTTGGTCTTAAGTAAAAATTAATGAAATTTCTGAGAAAGGTAATAGAACTTGGGAGAGAGGACTCAAATCACACCAGTAATGAAAGGATGCAGTTCTGTTGGAGAGGTTGTCTCTTAAATAGGAAGGACTGTACAAAGTCATCTTTAAATAAATTACCTCAGTTTAGAATGTGGCTGTTTAACAGAAAAGAGGTAGCAAGAATGAAATGCATCTGTTTTGAAAGGAAAGGGGACAGGAAAATCCTTTGTGAATGGTAGGAAGATCCTTGAGCAGTGTTCTCTGAGACTCTAGTAAAAAAGTCCATTTTGGTACCTTTGTAATGGGAAGTGGAAATAAGAGAGAACTCAGATCAAGTAAACAGTGAAATAAATTACTACTTAAAGGAATTATTCTTCTAAATGTGGCAGATATTCCTTTGTATATGATATTCCTTTGTATATTTGCCCATAACTCTGATTTTCTAACTTTGTGTAGCTGCACAGGAGTAGTGCTTTACTCATGTTGGGAGTGGTGTTACCTCACCTTCCTCAAGACAAGAAATTTTGCTTCTGGTGTATGGCGGGCACCAAAATTTTATCTCTTATCAAACTCTTATCTGGAGTATCTTTCACTCCAAGATGCCTGTACTCTTGGAAATATTAATGAATTGTTTGTTTTAATATCCATTTGAAGTTGTGTTATCCATATCATGCAGATGGGTAAACAGATGCATCAAGGCCTTGCCTTCTGCAGAGAAGTCTTTGAAAACCTTTGCCTTTGGCTAGCATGTGTTCTGCTCAGCTAATGCTAACAGTTATGGGATTTCAGGTGCACCTGCTGCCCATAGTGTATTGTACTCTGTGTCATACCTACCACCATGCTTCAAACAGCACTGGAGGGCAGTACCTGGGATAGCAAGTGCCTTTTCATATACAGTCCCCAGCTTTGCTGAACTCTAATGGGTGTTACTTTGTAGATTTCCCAATGGTGCAAACCTGGTTTTTGCCGAGGACTTGTTTCCACTGCAGGTGTAAGATTTTATATCTACCCTGTGTCAGTGCTGGGCTCAGACCCTTTCCTGCCCTTCCTGACACACATGCTTTTAGGCAGGTCCATGCCTAAACTCCTGAAAAGAACACTCTGAAAAGAAGGGCCAAAGTGCTCTGCAAACCTTAGGACAGTATAGTTAAGTCTGAGTGAAGCTGGACAATCTGCAGCTAGTTCATCTAAGTGTCAGTGGTTCAAGATGAAGCTATGGTTGGTTTGTATCTGCTGAACAGACAGAAAGCATCATACCACAGTCATGCATAGGTTTTGATTTTGCACATTTGGGTGGGTCTAATGTAATATGTGCAGGAGAACAAGTGAAAGATGCTTTGTGAATACTCAGTGTCGAGAACAGCCGGTTCTTTGTTCAGCTTCTGATGAAGAGCATGTTAAAACAAGCATCAATGTCTCTTTCATTTTCCCCTCTTAAAACAGGAGTCGGGAGGAGACGGATTTATGATATAGTGAATGTGCTGGAGTCGTTGCACTTGGTTAGCCGTGTGGCCAAGAACCAGTACTGTTGGCACGGGCGGCACAACCTAAGTCAGACTCTGAAAACGCTTCAGGAAGCAGGGGAGCTGCAGTATGGAGAGCTAGTGACCTCCCAGTACAAGGAACAGGACACAGAGTACAAATCTGGAGAGCAGAAAAAGGAAGCAGTGGCAGACTCACAAGACAGAGCATTACTTGACTTTGCAGAACCAGATTGCACATCCGGTAAGATAACTAGTGCTTCGATGTGACATACAGATATAGGTCTCTTTCTCCTGCTTACTGTGTGACCTTTTCCCTTGCTATGCTTCTAAATTAAATGGTAAAAAGTTACTTTTTACAAAAGGGTGCTGACTTCACTGTGTAGGTGACGGAATTCATCCTCCTGTCCTACCCCTAGCACTGGTGTCAGGACAGATTTCCCTTTTCTCGTTGGGCTGGCAGGAACCTCTGCAAGATGCACCAGTCCTTTTTTCCCCACCCATACCTGGCAATAAGTGTATTATTTTGACAGAGGGTGCCATATTCCATTTGTCCAGTATTTACACGTTCCCCTTAGAACGCGTAGTGCTTAAGTTCTGAAGTGCATTGAAATGATAATTGCACAGAACTGTGTAATACAGTGGAGAATTAGCTTTGGAATCTGTCTTTATAAAGGCTATTTCTGTAAGCTTTAATTTGTATTGTCTTTTGAAGAGAGGCTTCTGTCTGCATTATTCAGTTATTTTCTGCCTTTCAAAAGATTTCTGCTTCCCGACAAGAAAATACTTTACTCCTTTTATGTGTGAGAAACCTACTTATTAGTTTTCTGGCTGTGATGGATGACATATGCTAAGAGGCTTGGGTGTTATTTGTAACACAGCATCTGCAAACAGCAGAAAGGACAAGTCCTTGCGGATTATGAGCCAAAAGTTTGTCATGCTGTTCCTTGTCTCCAAGACCAAGATAGTCACTCTGGACATCGCAGCGAAGATATTAATAGAAGAAAACCAGGATACGGTGGACTACAGCAAGTTTAAAAGTAAGCTGGCTGTTGAGAGACAGATCAGATAGTGAGTAAGGAAAAGGGGCATGTTTGGATTGACACCAGTAGGTAACAGCAAGAACAGGTCAGGAATCTTTTGCCAAAATATGGTTTGGGTTCTATTGACTGGAAACAGTAGTTTCTCTAAATAGACCTTGGAGTGAGAAGCATCAATTTAATAATCATCTTAAAGTTTTAGCTTCACAATATGGGAAAATTGGGTTTCTGGGTTTAATTCTTTATACCTTATTTCCTCTTCCTTTCTGAATGACGTGTTTCAAGACTTACTGAGATGAAATGTGTTGAATTGAATGGCGTTTGTGTTTTCTCTGCAGAAGTTTGTTACTTCTCCTTTTCACCCCAGAAGTCTTTCACTGCTAGATAGCATAGTTTTGTTTCCAGTTAGTGGAGTTTGGTACTTAGATCTCTCAGATAACTTGACAAAAACAGCATTAGCAAAGCATTTTGCATTTTCAAAATGATGTATCACTAATTCAGTCTTAAAATGCTATTTCAGATGCCAGGAGAAATGAAAGAATTTTAGGTGAGCAGTGGATATGTGTACTGTATCCAGCTCAGAAATGTTATTTATTGGAGTCTCAGAGATTTTTTTCTAGGAGTGTTTCGTTTTTGAGATTGTAAATATACAATCAACTGTGCACATTCACAAGTTTCTTTATTCTATGTGTTGCTTTTTCCCTTTATTGAAGTTGCTGCCTTTTCTGGTCATCCAATGATGTAATCACTCCCTAAATCATTGCCATCAAAACGAGGTAGGCTGGATGCTCAGCTAAAATAAAATGAGTGATGACAAGCAGGTGGAAGTGGGAACTGGCATGGCAGCCTTTAGAGGGGTTTCTAGAGTCCATCCCAGTTTGATTTTACTTGTTCCACCTGTGAAATCTGTGATGATACTCTGGAATGAAATAACTACATAAATACATACTGTATGCATTGCAAATGTGACTGTCTTGACTATTTTTGTTCTTTCCTCTTAGCAAAGGTACGAAGGCTGTATGATATCGCCAATGTTCTTACCAGCCTATGCTTGATAAAGAAAGTTCATGTCACAGAGGAACGAGGCCGCAAGCCAGCTTTCAAATGGATTGGGCCTGTGGACTTCCCTGGCAAGACTGGTAAATTGTGTAGCTCTCTCCACTTTTCTTTTGACATTTGTTTCCAGATTATAAAAGGTTGTTTTCTGCATGTGAAGAATGACTTGACATTCATTAACCATTGTGTGGTTATCGACCACTTACCAGCTCAAAATTTGCCTTCAACAAGCTTATCTAATGATAATTAACTAGATGAATTGTAGAACAATAGAAGATTATGCCTACATCTCCAAATGTGGTTCTGTGAGTCTTAGGGATTACAACACCTCAGTATTTCTATCATAACTTGGTAATTAGTTGTTTTCTTGGTAAGGGAGCTTGCCTTGTATTTCCCCATGAAGAGGTTTGTAACAGAGAGGATTGACCCGAGCTCTTGTAAGCTGCTGATTCTTGTCTAGAAGCAAGTGTGAAGGAAGGCCTTGTGCTACTGTATTTTCTATGTGTCAGGCTGGTGCTATGAGCAGATAAAAGTAAAGCATACTTGGTTATAAACTTAATGGTACCTCAGTGTGTCCCCTTTTTCTTGCTGGCCATACATGCTGGAATGTAGCTGCTTCTTGCAGCTACCATGGAACTGAAAAGAAGAAAGCCATTGTCTTGTTTACCCACGCTTACTCAACTATGATATACTTAGTGCTGTGGGGCTTGGGATGGCATAGAGGTTACCTCTTCTCCTTTGGCCAATTTTAGTTACATGGCAAAAGTCTAAATAATGAGCTGTGTTCTTTGAATGACTTGTACAAAACTGTATTCCTTCAGGTGAGCCAAGAGGGCACTGCCCAACATCTGGTCCTCCAGCAGAGGCACGAAGAGGAGCCCGTGCCCCATATCAGATCTGTGCTACTGGAAAACAGAGGTTCACACGTCATGCTTCATTTAACAGTGCACAGCCCTGTGAAGGCACCAAAAGGAAAGTCAGCTCTGAGCCCAACAGCCCAAATCGAGAAAGACAAGGTAACTTCTGAGGAAGTGTATTTGTTCGTGTGCTACTGAATCAGCCCAAATCTAAGCCCACTCATTAAGGCAGTTGACCAAGTGAAACAGCCTAATAAAATATATGTGAATATATGTGAATTATCTTAGATAGATGCCAGTATTTCCACTCGTATTGTGGATCTTCCAGGCATGTGTCTAAAATTAAATGAGCTGGGTTTGGGCAACACTGCCTTGAATCAGCAGCTTGTTTTCTGGTAAATGTTTATGGTCTTCGTCAATTGCAACTATAGTGTGGCTTCTTCTGTTAAAGTGTGGTATAGATATAGAAGAATTATTTCGACTCAAATGATTGCTTTAATTTATGGTTCTTAGTAAATTCCACTATATTGTAACACTCTAACAGATAGCTCTTAAATATGAGCCCCAGTTACAGGGCCTTTCACAGGTCCCTGTTACAGGAAATGATGTTTTCAAGCACCTCCTGAGTGGGACTGAGAGTTCTAAGTATCTTGCAGGTTCTGGCTTTAGGTGATCAGTAGACATTATAAAAATGTGCCAGGGAAGAAACACCACAGCCAGTATTTCATATGGCCAGCATCAAAATACACTTAGTAAACCTGCCTCTTATTAACTGAATGTTCCTTTGTTTTTTCAGCTTGCATTGTGAATTCAGATGAATATTGCTCAAAAACGATAAATCTAGCATCTGTCTGCAGGCAGAAGATAGAGGAAGATACTAGGTAAGATGGTGTTTAAAAACACTGGTCTTGTTTCAGCTTGGTGTTTGCCATGTGAAACTCAGTATTGCTTGTATGTTTGGTGTTTTTGTTTGTTTGTTTGGTAGTTTTTCAGGAGAATCATTTTAACATGCAGAAAGCCTTAATGTAGAACCAATCAAGGATATAAGCTTTTGCACCTCAAACTCCTTTGTTTATTTGCTCCCCTTACTATGCTGTCAAATCACAATCTAATTTTACTGCTGTGTTAATTAAAAGTTTTCTTCTGTTTAACTACTTGAGCTTATACACAGCCAACATGTATGTATCTATGTTTGTTCCACTGTGTCCCTTTGCTTCATTAGTAGTTCTTTATCTCAGGTGTGTTCATACAGGGCTTTACTGCCTCCTTTTTCATGTTATTTAGGCTGAGCAAATCACAATTCCATGGAAAACCTCTCTTGTCATATTAGTGGGTCTTCTCTATATCTATCCCGATTTGAATTCATGTCTGGATGCCAGGCGTAGCTCCCTATGGCCTTTTCTACTCCAGTCAAGTGCAGCTGAAAGCATTATTATTCTGCCAAACAATTGATGAGTCTGTTTCCCTATAATTTGATATAATAAAAAGTGACCCTCCTGGTAAACTGTGTAAAATAAGTGGAGTTTTTTCATGAATTTTCCATGTTTATGCCCAAGAATGGCATGTAGTAGCTTGTAAGGATAAACACAGGTTTACTTTTGTACTAAGTGTTTTGTTTATTTTTTGTCTTTAGGAGCAAAGGTTGTGCCACAGAAGCAGTACTCAATGCAGCAAGGAACCCAAGTGTAACCTCACCTCTCTCCCTTCTTCCAGTTCCCGGGGACTCTGATTTTTGTGCTAACCCTTTATCTCAGGCAGTTTTCCCTGTGGTCCAGGCAGATATGCCAAGCCTGTTGCTGCCAAAAGGGGTCAGCAGCCAAGCTCTGCATGCTTCCAGTGCAGCAGCCTCCAAGACAGAGAATGGAAAACCTCCCTTACTCCCCAGCCAACCCTTCCTGTGTTTCCCCTCATCATCCTTTTTTATGCTGTGCGGTGGTCTTCAAGAGAATCTCTCAAGGGAGAGTGGGAGCACAGAGGAGAAGGCCTTGCCCCCGGAAGCTCAGGGTGCTGTACCTCCAGCTAATTGCCACAAACGCAGCTCCCACAGGTGCACATCACCCTCTGCTCCTACTGATGATGAAGAACCAGCTGCTAAAAAGCAGACTGTCGAACAGAGTGATGTCCCTATCTCACTTGTAGTACCCAAGGTAAAGAAATGAATTTCTTTATCAGTTAAGCTTCCTATTGGCACAGAGAACTTTTTCCCAGTATAGTGTTATTAGAAATATCTCTCTTGTTATGGGTACAAATTAGCATCTTGATACAATTATGTGGCTGCTGTGTCAGGAAGTATAGACATTAACTAGGAGATGATTTTGCAGTATTAGCAGAAAACAGACTGTGATTGCTTTGCATTGCGAAGTGATGATCAGCTGTCCTTTGGAATCATTGTCTTTAACAGAACAAGCTGCTGGGGGGGGGAAGAAATCAATGTGACTATTATTTCTCATTCTCCATTCTTTACATAGGCTTTCCCAGACAGCAGCAGGATTGCTTACTCCACTGAGCCACAGAAAGTATGATTTGTACTTTCTCCCTAATCTCCAGACTCAGTATACACTGGTTATACACTCAGTATTGCCCACAGCAGATTAGTGAGAGAGCAGATAATGGTGAAAGTAAAGTGCATCTATTTCTCAGCTCTCTTTACTACTGAAAATAGAGGTCAGGCCCTGTACCAATGTTTGAATATAAATTTAAAACAGATACATGTTTTATTCTCTAGATGAGGAAGGTGTCTGAGCATCATACCGTTCTTCAGTTTGGACTCCTCATTACCTCTCTTGTTTTTGCTTAGAAGCCTGTTGAGTCGCCTAAGGCAGACACTGCTCCAGGAAGTGGCTGTGCATCTGCTGTGCATCTAGAAGCTTTTCATCTTGACCTCTCAAGTCCTGCTGCTCCAGAGACTGCAGACAAAAAGTCTACCAAGCCTTTGGATTCTCAGGAGCAAGAAAAATGGTCTCAGAATAAAGACCCTGATGAACCTTCTCCAGGAAAAGATCACATCTCTAAAGAAAACACCAATCAGCCTTTTGTACCGCAGTATCTTTATGTTCAGCCTGCTGCTGGTAAGGGCAGATGTGAGATCTAGAGGCACTCAAACCTTTCCATTTGTTCACTGAGGCATTCAAAGAGGGAGACCTACAGATAGGTCAGGAAGTCTGTAGTTGGCACAAGAAGTGTCAGCAGCTCTCTGTAGTAGTTTAATAACTCTAACTTCCATATGAATTGTTGCTTCTCTGAAAATGGAGGCTTTTGGGTTTTTTAGGCACTTAAATGTTACTAGAAATAAATAGCATGCATTTTGCATGCTCGAATTACATGCAGCAAAGTAAGACACATGCAGCAAAGTCTGACATTCAAAACTGAGGGTAGCTGGAAGTCTAGATTTGTCAGTAAGGTGGCTGGAATAGTGCAGCAGCATTTCCCTAAGGGTGAACTCAGTCATCTGCAAGCTTTGCACTTCCTTGTCTTATGCCTCAATGGGATCGTGCTACAAAAACAGAATTGTTTGCTGGGAGCGTCCATGGACACAGCAGTAAGGGAGGAAGCATCTGCGAATACAATAGGATTTCATGTTCCATCCTTGTTTGCATCTGTGCTTGCACAGTGACAAAGACTAATTTTTGGGAGCAGCACACATGAGATTTTTCAAGACTACTGCTTTAATATTTGATTCCCTTGTGGCATAGAATGGGGCCTGTGGACTTTCACTTTTCTGGAGCAACTTGTAGAATAGAGATGCTTGGTTGGAAAATGTTGATCTTGGAATTTTGAAAGGTCAAACAAAGTGGGAACCAGCTTCTTTTTCAAAATGATATTTCAGCAGTTTTAAGGAAAATGAGCATCTTTGGGGTATATCTAGATGTTTTCTAATTGTATTTTTTCTTGCTAAAACACAGTGTATATACTTTGACATAGCAGAGAATGGGGTTCTTGTTAACGTAAAGAGTTTGTTTAGCTAAGCTGTTGCTTGTTACTCAAGTTAGAAGCAGAACGTAGGAAGGTGCAGTTGGTGCTTAGTATGAATGAAGTGAACAGATGTAGAGAAAATGAACAGGCAGCAGGGGGGGACATGGGGGTATGTAGGAAAAAAGGGCCTGGCTTAACAGCAACAGTTTTGTTTCTTCCTGGCCAGCCTATCTCTCCTTCTTTCTTGTCCCTCCTATTCTATATGAAGTTATGTTAGCTTAATTCCAGTTTGTCAGCTGTATTAATGCCTTGCTGTTTTTCTCATTTGTTTAGGACTAAGCAGTTTTAATTTCCTGTTCTCTGCAAACCAAGCTCCCGGTGCCATCGGGCTGGCTGCAAGCCAGTTACCTTCTCTGAGTGTCCCCTGTGTCATGGTGCCATCAGCAGCCTTGGCTTCCTTTCCTCTCGTCTGTTCACCTGCAATTCCCAGCCGTCTCTCTCCAGTTCCCAATGGCTCCTCAGCTGCTGCCTCCATGAATATCAGCATGCCTGGCCTGGCATCGACAGCGCCTGTTTTCATAGGCACCACAGCAGTGGTTACTCCAAATGCCTCACCTTCACCATCAGTGGATCCCCAGCAAACTGCTCACCCTGCTGCACATCCGAGACCTGTGCTCGCGAGATCCTGCAGTGCTGTTAAACTGGATTCCCCTGTGTGTGTGGGGCATCCAGTCACCCTTCTGAAACTGCAGCAGGTAAGCATCAAAGGTGACTGAATGACAGTGAAAATGCAGTTCCAACTCAGTGGGACTGAAGGCAGCTTGTGCTGCAGGTTGGTGCCTGGGCGCCAGAGCAGCAAGTTGGCAGGCTGGGAGGTGGTGTCATCCACATAATTCACATGTCCATCTGTCATGGTGGGAGGGCTTGGGACAGTCTTTGTATAAACATATGGCCCAGTGTAAGGTGTCTCATGCTGCGTGGTAAAGTGGTGAGTTTCCAATTCTTACAAGAATTTTAAGATCTTAGAAGTCTGACGTGAACAGAGGAAGAAAAATGAGGGTTTTTTGGGCTTGTTTTCCCAGAGATCTGAGTGCTTTGGGTTGTTTTTTTTGGGTTTTTTTTTTTTTTGTTTCTTCCCTGTTTGATTCTAGCATTCTAAGTGTATCATTCAGGAACTGCAGAAACACAGTAGGAAGATGGGAGGATTGTTTGTCATCATTACAGAATCAAATGTCCAGAACAGGTGGTAGTGTTCTGGGTTACCTCCTCACCCCCATTCTAATCTCTGCTCACTAAGTAAAGGAAGCTTAGTGGCAACATCTGACAGAACTGAGTGATATCCACTTGATCTTTCTTAAAGATCAACAAATATTTTTGAGAATTTACCATAGTAGGGGATTTTTTTAATATATAAATGAGAAATTCACAAATGAAGGACTCATTAATCTGAAGTACAACTAATGAGATAAAATAGTCGTGTCACACTATGTTAGCTGTGCACAACTATTCACAGTGATATTTTGGCACTGCTTCAGCTTACATTTTTTTAGTCTGTGATGTGTTTTCCTACCATCTAAAAAAGAGACAAATGGAAGCTTTATGAATGTTACTTTATGTTAATTTTGTTCAAGCTTTACAAAAAGGCTGTAATAGAGTCAACCTGTTTACAGATACCAGCATTAGAGTAGCACTTAGATACCAGCATTAGAGTAGCAGAAGACGCCTGGGTTTAGTAGACTAATTTTAGATCTGTTTTGTTGTTAGCAAATAACAGAATTGACTGAAATATTAAGGAGGGGAAAGATCCTTTTGAGCTAGAGGACAAGACTGGCATAAGAATGAAAGAGTACAAACTAGTGGTGAATATACTTAAGTTGGAAATGAGATAAAGGTTTTCAGTTTCCCAGCAGTGACGTACTGGCAGATAGCCCAGAGCTTTTCATGTGGAGCTCCTGAATGTATTGTGTGACATGGCTCCCTGTAGTAGCACAGGATGCTGGGCTTCTTGCAAACCGAAGAGAGCTTGTAGGCATGCTTGCATGTAGACTTTGATTTAAAAAAACTACTGAATTACCTTGGTTCTGTTTCACAAATAGCCTTCATCAACTCCTGTCACTCCCAAGAGCGTTCGTCCTGCACGTCACGAGGCGTTCTTCAAAACTCCTGGAAGTCTTGGAGATCCTGGTGCATGGAAAAAAAGTGAAGGCAACCAGACCAGAAATGCCAGCTCTGTGCAGAGAAGACTAGAAATCTCTAGTACCAGCACTGACTAACTCCATGCATTGCAAAGGTTGGGCAGATTGTCCTAGGACACAGTATTTGTTACAAGAGAACAAGCTCTTAATCTGACAAGAAGAGCGTGTTGACATGTCATCCCTTTTGGCATGCTTCCCCACTATCCATTCACCCACCAGTTCTGTTAACCTTCTCCACAAATCAGACTTGGTAGTGAAAACCTTTTACTTAATTGTTCCTTCAGTACTGATCTGAATTCAGATGCTGTAGTTCACGTAACCTTGTGGGCATCAAATTTTATTTGTGGTTTTAATCTGGAAAACTCTTTATCAATGTGAGGAGATGTAAAGAGATCTCCTTGGAATCCCCACGGGTTCTTTGCTCGTGGTTTTAAGTGAGACATCTAGCACTTATCTGGGGTAAGCAATTTTTTAACATGTCTGCTTACCCTGAGTAAAGCTGTGGTGAAATTGATGAGCTAAAACAATCTGCCAAACCCTGTCGCCGCAGTACAGCCTCTTGCTATTTATTTGGTACATTAGAGTGGGAGCTTCAGAGTAACAGATTTTCTCAGGGTGGGATTACTTGAATGTCAGTCAATTGTTGTACAATTTGCCCAGCACTTGTGGTTAGGAAAACGAATAACAACACCATATAATTGAATGTATACATTTGAAAAATATTAAGACCAAAATAACTGTGAATGTTAACATTTTTATAGTTATGTCAATGAACTGCGTTATTCCTTGGGTTTCTTTCTCCTAATCTGAGCAAAAGGTACAAAGGTAGATATGAAGAATACAAAACCTGATTCTTGGAAAAAAAAAAAAGTTTGACAAAGTCATTTGAGAGTGTCATGCCACTGGGAGAGCTGTGCTAAGATTTAGTTTCCCGTGCGATATGTGTTCTGGACTTTATGACAAAGGGACAGTGGTAAGTTGGTAAACACAGTATGAGATTCACTTTAACCTGAGTCTCCTTAAGTGCCTTCTTAGAGGTTTACTTCAATCTGTACCCCTTAAGTGGATTTTAAGTGCCTATCTGTTCATCTGTGGGAATTTTGTAACTAGTTAATAGTGTTTGAATGTACTTGGAAGATGAGGGAGATTTTATCTTTTGGCACATACCTGTCAAAACCACAAAAGAAGCTGAAAGAGAATGGGAGTCAAATTTTGAAAGTAAAAAATTACTTGTGTTCCTTATGAGAAGATAAGGAGAAGAAAAGGGCATGTGTAACACTTAACATTCAGGGTCCTCAAATAGTGAATGGTGCTATTAATAATATAGGACATAATTTTAAGGGTTAATACTCTTATGGTTGGGTATGTTCTTTACTGGTATAGCTGCCATGAAACTTGTGCAGTTTCCTTTTCAAAAGACAGAATGCATCGCTGTTGACTGATTTTACTCTGGATTTTTAGCAAACACAAGGCCAACATCATCAGCTCTTCCCTCACAAGTAGTAACTTTGCTTTGATTGGTACTGGTGTTTGAAGGTAGATAGGCTGGTGTGCTGCTTGGTCAAGGGAGGCTAGGATTTATGTGGGAGTTTGGAATTTGATGAGGATTTTTATTTTCATAACGAAGTGTATTACGAAAAAAGAATTTAAGAAAAATCTTTGCCAAAACTGGGAATTTAGTCAATGTGGCCTTATCTTAGAATAAACAAATAACAGCCTTGTAAGGAGAGCTGGTTAGCCCTCACTGAAGGGAAATCTCTACAGTGGAATTGTCATAGGAAATTTCAGGGATTATAAGAAGAAATCTTCAGACTGCTAAATTTAAAGTTGTTTTTTCTTGTGTTGTTTTTTTTTTGTTTTTTTTTGTTTTTTTTTTTAATCACACTACAACTGTGAAAGTTTACAATTTTTGCTTCTGAATTATTTCTTCTTATACCCCCATTCATATTTATTTCATTTTGAAAAGTTTTGAAATGGGCACGGTGCTGCCACTGTAACATACAGTTGTTACTGTTGTGGCTGGAAAGAGGCTGCAGTGATTCTGGTGGACATCGTGGATGTCGATTTCCAAACCTTGTCTTTTCCTCTCAAGTGTGGTGCAGCCTTTGAATGAAATAGCAGCTGGCAGCAGAGGGGAGTGCTGGGGTCAAGTACTGGCTCTAGCTGAAGCACGATCATGATATTTGCCTTGTGTTGTAGTCTGTGTCATAGCATACTTGAAAATGCAGGGATTGAAAACGTATCTTCTGTTTCCAATTTCTGCATCTACTTTTCAGTTTCTGTAAATACAGCAGACCTGGAAATGAGGATCAACTCCCTCACAATCAAAGCTGTTTGATGGGTTGCGGTTGTGAAAGCAAAATTGGGGCTGGGAACAGGAGGGTGTTTATGTGATGTTCTGGTTTTGTCATTGCAAAATTATCACTGGAGGAGGTGGAGGGATGGATAGAGAAGCAGCACCGGGGCATTTGGGTGACACTGGGGACAGTGCTGCTTGCAACTGACTGGCAAGGTAGAGGGGTGGGCTGTCAGGAGGAAATGAGTTTATTTTCTATCTTTGCCTTTGCTGAAAGCAAAATAGTAAATTAAACTAGTAACAATTCACCAGGAAAGTAGCTTTGGAAAAGCAGAATTTGTACTCACACTGAGGAAATGTGCATACCTATGATGTTTTGCAGGGTTTGTAAAACCTTTCTGTTCCAAAACAGTTGTTAGGGAGGGTGAGTGTGTAACTTATACTTGAATCTACCTGCCACGTTTACATTTCTGATTATCTTTTGTAAATTGGTGCTATTTCTGTATTTAAAAAGCGGTATTTTTAATGTAAAGCTGCTTTCAGTTTGTATCTTTGCACTGCTAGTTTAATATAGATATTAATTTTATTGCTGCCTATAACTGTTGTGCTTCTCCTGCTCTGTAGCAATCTTTTTAGCTGTTTGCTTATAGCTTTACTCCAATCACAATGTTGGGATTATTATCTTTTAATCCTATCTCTTAGCAAAATATTAAACTTTTACAGAATAAAAGTGGAAGTAAAAACAAGTCTGAGACTGTGATGTCAGTATGGAAGCATTCTTTAAAATAAATAACCATCCACCATGCATTCAAATTAGTGCTGTTGAAGCCTCAAGGACCAGTGCAACGTAAGCTGGCTAATAAAGTCCTGGAGCTGACTAGGAGCATGGCTCTGCCGCTCGAGTTCTGCTCCTGTAATATGGGGCAGATGTTCTGGGTCTGACTGTCATCGTTGAGAAGCTGTAGTTGGTTGTCTAAATATGTGCCTAGGGCCTGTCACCTTGGTGCCTCCTGGCATGAAAGGTTCAAGCCCTTGCCTATGTGTGGAAGTTTCCCAGAAGCAAGGCCCTGGACTGGGTTGTGGGCAACTGTCCTTGGGAGCTACCAGCACCACAAGGGACTTGTCCCGCTACCAGGGACCTCGGGGCTCCATTAAAACCAGGGATCATTTCCTTATTGATTTCACCAAGTCCTGTGTTGCTTTTCCCCAGTAATTAAAGAGATGGGACTTAATGTCACTGAGACCCGGCTGCAAGATGTCTGTGAGTTACGACTGGCTGAGCTCCTCAGAAGTCATTTTTTAAAATGAAAACTCAGCAGCTCAATATCGTTTGGCTTATTTCTGACCTGTGACTCCACCAATATTAACTTTCTCCTTCCACTGACAGGAAAGATTATAAATTAATAAGATAAGATATGAGCTGAATGCTAACAGGCCCTCCTCCGGCCCCTTTTGTTAGGCCATGGCTGTAGCCTCCTTGGCAAAGTTCAGGGCTGTAGCTTCAAGTACTTCCCATCCACATCTGTGTGCCCGTTTGAAGTAAAAAAATAATTAGAGGGGAACATTAAACGCCCTCTGGTTTAGTTCTCTCTGTTAAAAGGGAAAATTAAAAGCTGTAGCATTGTGGATGAAAGTCTTACTGCCCCGTGGCCTGAGCTGTACAGCCAGGGCCAGCTGGGAGACCAAAATCAGCCCACAGTGCTGGAAGGTGTTACATGCTGCCAGCAAGTGAAGCTTTGATCTGGGAAAGGCATCAACCCCTGCCCCAGGGCCCAGCTGCCCCTTGTTTGAGTAATATGGAAGAGGCACCCAAGTGTCTTTGTGCAGTAGGAAAACCAGAGCAATAAAAACTACAGGAAAAATCTAACAAGATAGGTTTTGGGAAAATTACAGAGGTTACCTGGGGGCTGATTGCCAGCATTGGGTTAAGTCAGAGATCTTTTGTGAGCACGTTTGCTGTGGCATTCAGGGGCAGAAAGCCAAAGGGAAGTCAGCAAAACAGCTGCATGATGAGCTCTTCCACTGCAGGGGCCAAGCACTGCACAGCATGGGACAAGCTAGGCACAAAGAGCAGGGCTTCACTCTGTTGGCTGTGATCCTCTGAGATCTCCGTGGTAAGAAGCATTAGTGTCCAGGTTCTTTCCAAGTTAATTGGCTGCACCAGCAAGACAACAAGAATTTCAGCTGTTTTTCAGGAGGTTTCCCCAAGGCTTCCTGGGTGATTAAATGAAACCTAATAGTGTCAGTCAGCACTAAGTCAAGCTGCAAAATCCTTGGGCCTTTCCCTGCTCCACTAGGGACACGCAGCAATTCTGCTGCTGAGTGGGCAAAAACCTGCATTTCTGCTTTGCAAGATGCCGTGACGTCCAAGTCTGATAACACAGGATCTCCTAGGGAAAGGACAGCATGATCTGCCTCAGTCAGAGCTTGGAATTCCTCCATTTTCTGAATAAATAAAGCCCTCATTTTCACCCTGCAGGAGAACGTGAGCTGCCATAGGTTCTGCCTTTCCCATATCTCTGTTTCAGTGTGACAGCAGTTTCATTTAATAGATGATATGGCAAATTTAGGTGGGAGGGGAGAATGAAACTTATTTCATAATAAGATGAAAGAATGAAGTTTCTATTCCACAACAGTGAATTGTCCAAAAGGAAACAATTTACTTTCGCTAGCCAATTTGTTAATGCTGATAAAGTCCCTGTGTCTCACTGATAGCCAACAAATATGTGGCTTCCTAACCCACGCCCCTTTAAAATCTTGGTTAACTGGTAACAATTAGTTTGTGCTAAAAGCATCCTCCTGTACCTGAAATGCACAGGGAATTTAATGGACATGATGGAGAAGACACTGAAACTCTGGTCACAGCATGAAGTCAAGAGGGGATTAATGAGGCCAATTTTCCTCCGTATGTAAATGTAACTTTCCTCCTGATTCTGGAAGTGTAACGTCACTGAGGCTTGTGACATTGCACCCACCTTGCATAGCCCTGAGGAGGGAGCTGCAAGGGATGGAGATAAACCAGGTGCCCCCATGGGCTACTGTCATTATCTAGCTGTGCTGAAACTGGAAGGTTTGGAAAAAGTTGATGAACAACAGCTCTTCAGATACTTCAGGCTCCAGTGTCAAATGCTTCTTTTCCTGTCTTCCTTAGTATCAGCGTGATGCCAGAGGCTCCAATGCACTTGCTCTTGATTTGTGTTGGCTTGAAAGGAGAAAGATCTGTCTCCTGGTTCTGGGCTTACTTCTGCTTGTCCTGTACTGCATGACTTTGAGCAAATCAGTCTTTGACTTCTCTAAAACCACAACAATTACAATCAGTCAGGCCTATCACCTGGCCTCACAAGGCCTAACAAGTGTAGGTATTGTGCTGAAGGAAAGGGAAAGGGAGAGACATAGAGCTGAAGAGAGGAAGGGCAGCCCTACTGAGTAGGCTATTTCTTAAGAAATAGGTGAGCAAACACATTCCCCAGTTTGAAAATAATGTAGGGCTTTTCAACTCAGCCATAGTTGGGTGTTCACATTTCACACTAGCCATGTAGTATGAGCCTAATGGTCTTAGGCTGACCTTCTCTTACTGTCTGACCGTTATGTGACATTGATTTTTAATTTAAGACTCCTGTTCATGTGTCTTGAGGCTGAAATCACATAGATTGGAGCCCATTATGTCTACCAGACATTCACAAAAATGCTTCAAGATTCATTAGATAAAAGATTATTTTAAGAGGCTGAGGAAGAAAAAGCTTTTTCAGTCTTCCCAGCATATACAATTAAAGAGGAAAGAACATTTCAGATGCAATCAGTGAATACATTTTACTATAATCAGATAACTACACGGTGCCTTGCCAGAGTAACTAGGGCTGGGCTCCAGGAGTCTCTGCAGAGAATAAAAGGATTCACTCAGGCGCCAGCCTCCCTCCTCCCCCAGTTCTGAAGTCTCTCCAGACATTTCTTCAAGCTACTGCATGCTGCAAAGTCTTGCATGATCCTAATGAGTTGTTATCTCCTGGAGAAACCAGGAGACAGAAAGTACCAGCCTGTCAGCTCTTTTTTTGTAGCAAAGCCCTTGCCACTTGTTTTGCTAGGTAAACATGACCACAGCCTCCCTTTGCCTTTTGCAGCATGGGGAGAGTTTAATTAAGGAGAGCAAAACAAATCTCAGATGTCCATAAACGTTTTAAGCCTGTTAAAGCCCAGGAAATCTTGGTCTGGGTTATAATTCTGCATATAAGAAAGTTGTTTTTGCAGTTCTGTGCAAAATCAGTTCAGACTTCTATCCCTTTTTCAAGGAGGAATTCTTCATGGCAAAATTAAAAGGAAAAGCTGAGATGAAGTGAAAAGAAGCAGTTGTTCCTCGAGATATCTCTGCTAGGAAGCTCCACTGAATCATAGAGGTCCACTAAAATGCAATGTTGCAATCAGTCAGTGGGCAGCTGCTTAGCAGGAGTTCTTTAAGACCCCTATGGCAAAATAGAAAAGAATGAAAGAAATAAAGGAAGGAAGAAAGAAAGGAAGAAAGGAAGAATAGAACTATCTTA